GCTCCAGCTGCCTGGCACAGTGCTGGCTGTTGTGTCGTTTCAGGAATGAGACAGTGGAAGAATTACTCTCTTTGGCTCATATTCTCTAAATTTCGTTTTCAAAAAAGAAAACTATTGAAATGATTTTTTTTTTCATTCAAGAATGGAACATTAGTTTCTTTCTTGTCTCATCCCAGTCTGAAATTAGAGTGGTGAAGACACTAAAAAAAGAACAAATTTTCTTTTGGGTTCTGGGTTTGATATGTAGCCAATGACAGATAGTAAAGGGAAATACGACAAAGGTGTTGGGAACTGGGGCATTTCACCCTTGACCTTTCCAATTGTTACAGGCTGCAAGTAGGTAAGATTTCATTACAGTGTTATTCTCAAACTAAATCACATCAACATGTATTTCAAGAGAAAAGATCATACCTTAGGGGAGAAAAAAAATGGACTACGTCACAAGTAACATAATGTCCTTTTCTTTAAAATGCAAATACATGGTCATGCAAATTTCAAAAAAAAAAAAGAGGGGGGTGACAAAATTACTAACGTAGTCAATGGATGAAAAAAATGCTTATCATGAAGGCAGTTCAGTGACCTGCTCTGCAGAAATACCCAAGGTGGATCACTGCAGGATTATTTCAACATCCTAAATAGCCTGTTATATACATTCTATGAAGGAGAGAGGCTCTTCCCAAATGGTACATAAATACAGAAACCTTTATTTTGAAAGAAAAAAAGATATTCCAACAGCATTTCACAAATTTTTAGCCAGGTTTATCATTAGTAATGGATACTGAAATCAGTGAACAAGCATTTATCCAATAACTAAAACCACCTCTATGCTCAGACTGGATTTAAGTGGCCCTGCTAAAAGGGCCATTCCTAGTTTTTCAGTTTCTCATGTCCCAGTGTTACGCGGCAGAAGTAGTTCTTATTACGTATTGGGGTATTTCCAAGAAGTAAATCCAATGCTTGACTAACAGTAAACACACGTTTGGAAACTTAACTCCAAACTTCAAGGATTCAGGAACAGAACTTTCAGAGTCATTATTCAAACGTTACCAAAACAAAAGAAGCTAATTTTGAAAAAATAATGAACAAGTGTTTGTGCCAAAAGTTACCACAGTTAATTTGTATTTTCTATTCTTAAAAGTTGTACTCTAAAGTGAAGTGGATAAGGAATATATCAAGCCTGTTAAAACCCAGTAGAGTCAAGGACAGAAGACATAAGGTACAAAGCAGATGTCAACTTGCAGTCTTTCAATGGATTGACTAAATGCCTTCATAATTCAATGAAAAAGATAGGAGTTTTCAAATATCTTTAGTCAATTTGAGGCATTTTTTTTCTTAAGTGGAGAATTTCTTACAAGGAAGCACAAGATCATACTTAAACAGTTGGTGATGCTCAAAATACAATGCCTATTTCATTGAAAGTTTCCAGTAAGACACTCAAGTAATCTTCATATATGTGTTTTAAACATTTTAGCAATGTTTGCAGTTGAATAGTCTGAGAATTGTCTTTCAAAGAGACATCCATATAAAGGAGTCCTGGAGACATTTAAACAGTGAGTTTGAGCTGGATTTATTACTACAAAAAAGCAACCAAACAAAGGAGAACACGAGGGGGTCTATGGAGATAGATAAAATGACACCCACACAACAACACAGGGAACCGTGCTACCGGCCTCAGTGCGGGAACAGTCACAGGAGACACACTTCACAATGCCCTATACATACTGCATAACTTTATAATTTTAAAAATCAGGAGCATGTATAATACAGAAATCTTCAAAATCTTAAAAACCTGATTGTACCCAAAACATTCTATGCAACACTGTGCAGAACTAGTGGACAATCCTTTGCTGCCTCTGGTTAAAGTAATTTAGTCAAAACCACAAGACTCGGGCACTTGCTTTCTCTGCCATCTGCACAAGGGTGAGGGAAATCTTGGCAAATCTAGGATTCATAGGTAACTCTGAAAACAATATTTGAAATTTATGGGAACAAAAAACAATGGGCATTTTAATGACCAATTACAATATTTATACAGGATGATATGCATAACATTCCACTGAATCTCATGGTCCAATCTGTGGGACAGATTTTTTAAAATACATTTAAATATAAATGAATTCTGATTACTGGTATAAGACAACTAGTTACGGATACAAGTTTTTGGGTATACATTCTAGGCAAAAGCTTTCACTTGAAAATATCACCAAACATTCACACTTTACCTTAATTAATCCAAAACAAGAATGAGAAATAAGTGCAAGAAAAGCACTTCTAGTGATTCACGGCCTTGAAAAGGATTTGAAAGACACAAAGTGTAGAGCAGGTGACCACAAGTGCATGGCCACTTTAAACAGCTGTGTTCAAACTTTAACACTTGGAAACACTGTGCTGGTCAAATGAAACAGAACTGCAGACAAAATGGTATATAAGCTGTGAGTGTACAACGCTTACAGTGATGTAACAACTGAACTTCCAAAATCCAAGATTCGCAATACTTGGATCATTCAAGATTAACATCTCAGTGCCAGCACACCCCTAGAAAACAATTATTGACAAAATGTTTATGGAATCATTCAATTTCTCAGGAAGTTCTAACAAACAAACAATAAAAAAGATTCTTCAACTCTTGAATACAACCAACAAATGACCAATAAATTAAAGCAACTAATGTTGGTGCTCTGTGCTGGAGACAGTTTGCAAAGGTATGGGAGAGCTGCGGGTACTTCTCCTTCAAATTGCATTTGATGGTATCAGATTGGTAAAATCAACCATTAATGCCAAGAGCATTTGTATCACAAATACATGCTAAAAAAAAAAAAAAAGAAGAAAAAATAAACACTACCAAAACCAACCAAACACCTTTTCATAAGATAGAGTTGTCTGGTATACCAGGACAACATTGAGTTACATACTACCATACATTTATTCGCCTAAATACAACACCCTGCTCCCCAGCGCACATGCACACATATGCCAAAGGCAAATAAATACCTTTAGTTAAGGATGAACTCCACAGACTAAGTTAATATAAACTTTAACATCTTTTTTTATAAGTTTCCGACGGTACAGGACACACATACCAATAAAGGTAAGATTTGTCCCAGAACAGAAGTCACTGTGGAAATCAGATGTCTGTGCCTTTCCAAACGGATTCCACCAGCTATCATAACTCACTTCCAAAGATTAAAACCACAGAACAGGCTGCAATGATTTATAAAAAAGAAATAAATGACTAAGACTTTTCTAAGTATGTGAAAACTTTCTTCAACTTCAAAAGATTAAAAAAGAAATCTACTCACAAAAACATGTAATAGTATGTTAATGGAAAAAATTGACTTCCTAGATCCAAATCCGTCACTAACTCAACTTATGTATACCTTGGTATTTATAGTATGAATTATACCATCAAGGCTTTTATGACAGAATAAGAAAAGCACTTAGCAAGCCTTCAATGACACAAATGAAAGGGGCTTCAGAAACCATATCCCATAATTTCACAGGAAGTGTTACTCTGAATAAGCAAAGTTTAAGTTTGTAATTTCAATTTTCCAACCAAACAAGGTTCATAAATCAGTGGTGTTTACAAGTAAATACTGTTACAGAAACATACAAGCTTAAAGCAAGCTGGTTTGGGAAGCATAGTGGATAGGTCAAACTGCCCTCATAATACTAAGATACAGTGTACCCATCTCCTCTCCTGACCTCAGAAGTGCACAATGGAGTCTCCAAGTGCCTATCAGCCGCATGAGAATCTGTTCTGATCAACCCATGTAGCAGAAAGATGTACAAAACTTACTTTATACCAAAGGTTATCTATGTCAACAAATAATGGATTCATTACTATTATAATTTAAATGACTAAGCATGCTTTTAAAACATGTCAATATTAACTTCGAATACAATGAGATACAAGTTTCTTCAATAAAAACTCTTTGGGATCTTCTCGAATTTTTAAGAGTTATGGTCCTGAGGCGAAAATTCTTCAGAATTATTGGTGCAGAAGCAGCCAATTCATCCTCTTCCTTTCTGTGAATGTGCAGGCACCGCACCAGAGAAGTGCGTGCTGGGAACGGTGGCACAGCACAGGTAAAGCATTAATGCGCTGTTTTCAACTGTACAAAAAGGATTACTGTAACAAAGAAAGTGTATTTTTTAATAAATATCAAGTAGAATATGCCTTTACTGTAATAAGTTTGCTGTTCTAAAACACAAATTTCTTTCCCGAATAAAGACAGAACAGAACAGAGGAACAGCTTCGATTGGTAAATCAGGAACCTTTGATATCAGCTTTATCTCTTTCCAGTTTTCTGATTAGTACTCAACACAGTTCTGCTGATCTATAAAAAACTAGAAAACTGCAGGTATTTACACCAAATAGAAGCTGTGTTTTCTTAGCAAACAGTAAGGGTCATGAGAAAATTCACCTTAAAAATGAAGCTGGTCTTAAACTAAACATTTTCATTGTATAAGCACTCATTTAACGTCAGTAAGAGTCCCCACCTAATTAAAGACCTCAAATTCACTCAGAAAAAAAAAGGCTTTAAAATTGTTTTGGTAACAATTGTTTAATGTACTTATTAGAAGGAAAGACTCGTAGGTTATTTGGGTAATGACCTACATTTATATAAGTTTGTACATAGGAATCAACTGGGACCTGATACAACCTAAACAGAAATTTAAATACAGTAAGTTTTCCATATATCAAAAGGGCTAAGAGCTTTTAAAAATGTAGAGAGATTTCAAGTCTGCAACACAAACCTGGAACTGTGCATCTTCCATTTAATTTTAAAAGCAGACAGACACTGCATGGGCAGATAGTTCCCAGTTATCTTATCCAAATGGTTCAAATCAACCATGTTTTCAGTGAGATATGCACTGGACAACAATGTTTTAACAAGTCTAAAACACTACACAGATTTAAAATTATTGCAACAACCGATGTAGTCATCACTGAAAAAGGCATTCAACATGAATAAAGTATGAGAAAACTGATGTTCACATTTAATACCAAAGCTTTGTAAAAACTTTTAATCATTTTCAGATAAACTTTTCAAACATGTAGTACACATGTGTGTATGCAGTTGCCCCAGGTTCTGATGACAGTCATTATGACAATTCTCTGATAACATAATACAGTGACGTCCTATAGGCTGCACAGGCTGGGCCTACACTAACACCAGTCTTGGTCACTGTATGTTTTTCAGTTTTCTCAGTTTCTGTCATTTCAAGCCATCACTTCTGAACTATGCAGACGCTAGGGCTGAGAAATAGAAATTATTAAAGTCTCATATAAAACAAAGGCATAAGCTCTAACACAGAAACTTTGATTTACATGGATTACACAGAGGCATTTTAAAAAACACCATTCCAAATTTCTTAGTTGTATTCATTTTGATGACACAGCCAGATTATCCCTGGATGAAGGAAGCATTACTGTATATAAATATTTAAACAAGTTCACTTGAATATTAACAAAATGATACAACTACACACTTAGTTTCATTGCATTGGAAAGATATTCCATAGCTTTCAGATAACCCTGGGTTCCAGCTGCATTCCGCCCCGCAAAACAAACACAGATATTCTACAGAGCATCAGTTTGTCCAGAAAAGAGGAAGAAAAAACCAAAAAAAACAAAAAACTGAGGTGCAATCATGTCACAGTTAATGCATGTCTGTTTCCAATACATTCAAAGACATTTTTAAAAAATCAATAGTTAAAATAGGCCTTTTTGCAGTCTGAGAATTCAAGATACTTAAAAATTTTGTAATTACACATACATGCAAATTCTTTATATATACAAATGTCAAAAAAATTAACAAGTTGCAAAGAAATTAGAAGGACTGTGGTGAATCTGACAGGTTACATTTAAATGCTTTACCACTAACACATTCCTGAATATAGCAGTCATAGTCGTTTAATAAATTTTCTACATGGCCTCTTTATAAAAAGTTAGTCATTATCAGTACTTAAGAATTCAAGATGTTCTCAATTCACTCCTCTTATTTAAGGCCACTTTGGTAAAGGCATTGCAGCAAGAACACAGAAACAATACCATCTTTTCTATTATTTATTTTTTTCACCTGCAAACTGTAGCAAAACATGATGAGCTTTAATATGCAGACAGGAATCCCTCTACATTTTTAAAGAATTTAGGCATGTATAAATAGAAGAGCTCTTTAGAAAGGAAAAATTCGAGAATGAATAAAACCTTTCAATTTTTGACTTTGTAACTTTCCAGTAGCAATGGTTAAAATGATTTTAGGTCATTCATTCCAAGATATATGACAGCACCTTAAAAGTGGCTGATCTATTTCCCCAGTAACGTTTCTCACATAATGTGTTAAAGTTACAAATACTGATATGCACAAATAGCTAATTTCTAAGAAAAATATGTACAGTACTGCAGCATAATGAATGTGGTATCTGCAATAACTTAACATTCGCCAATTTTTAATATACATGATACCGCGACCTTTTTCTGCCAATTCACAGGTTAAGAGTTGTTAGCGGAGCCCTCTGTTTTGCACGTATTACCTGGTGTTTAATACACAATGCAGGCTTTTAGAGACTTCTCTTGTGTTTAAAGCTAATATCAGTGAAACAAGACAACAGTGCAAGAGGCGGAGAGATGTAATGTGACCACACAGAAGTCCGTTCCAGTAAAGTGTCTATATAAGGCTATAAGAAAGGATTGGTTGATGAGCTTCCTGTCGGAAATTGTCCTGTTGGCGCACCAGTCTAAAGGAAATAAAATAAGTAATTTTAATTAACTTAGCCTCACCCTTGCTAGAGGAAGCAATATTTACCCATTACTGGCAACAAACTGTAACTGCCCATGCTCTCTTTCCTGCCCATTATTTCATATCATTCTTATGACAGTTCTCATTGAAACAAAATCTTAAGATTATTTTCTCAGAATGCACAATAAATCCTTCAATTTCTCATAAAGACAGCAGACAAGTTTCATATTATAAAATTAGCTTATTGCCAGGCCCGGCACAGTAGCCTAGTGGCTAAAGTCCTCGCCTTGCATGTGTTAGGATCCCACAGGGCACCGGCTCTAATCCCAGCAGCCCCGCTTCCCATCCAGCTCTCTGCTTGTGGCCTGGGAAAGCAGTTGAGGACAGTCCAAAGCCTTGGAACCCTGCACCTGTGTGGGAGATCCAGAAGAGGATCCTGGCTTTGAATTAGCTTAACTCTGGCTGTTGCAGCCACTTGGGGAGTGAATCAATGGATGGAAGATCTTCCTCTCTGTCTCTCCTTTCTGTATATCTGACTTTGCAATAATAATAAATAAATCTTTCTTAAAATGGCTTATTGTCAATGCTTTGATGTGCAACTCTTTAGTCAAAAAAGGGTCACACATAATGGCCTTGTTTCAATTTCAATAATCGTCAGACTCTGTGACATAGAACAGTAAGAATATTTAGATGTTGTTTTTTAATGTGAAAATAAGATTCAAAAACTTAAAAGTACTAAAAATAAAATTTTACTTACCATAAATGGATTACTAGATACTGCAGCAGCTGCAACTTGACCAAAAGGAGTTACCACTGGCTTTGTCTGTCCAAAGGCTGCAAAACCTGAACCTTGTAAAGACAGAACCATCAATTACACCCTCGTCTGCAAGAGCCAATCAGATCTCACAGAGCCTCGTGACCTTCCAGAGAATGTCATGCTCTTGCAGCCATCGCACACAAGCTGCCTGTGGTCTTAACAGAGCTTCCATTCAGCTCTTCAGAAATGACGAACTCCAACTAGCCAGTTATGGGATCACTGACAAAGCATTTAATCAAAACATGAGTTTGGGACTATCTGGAGACAATGGTTTCCATATGAATATCACAGTACTTCTAGCCAGTTTTATCTTTTTTTTAAATCACATATGACTCATCCGTGGCCCACATTCCCAAAGATTTTTCTAACTACTGACTTTAAAGATAAAAGCACTTCGTAGTAAGAACAATCTTCAAACCTATCAACTTCTTAATAAAAGAAATGGGTAAAAGAGAAACAGAACAAATAACTCCTCTCACTTTGACCTAAAAATGATCTCCAACTACAATACAAAATTATCTTACACATGCAAGCACACAAAAACACATATCCTCCCAACACTCATGAACTAACATTGCAGTATTCTTTGGTATGATTTTTACTAAACATATGCAATGATGCATAAGGGATACCCAAAGTGGATGAAGAGCTCTGATGTTAACACCTTTCTTACCATTGGGCTGCTGGGAAAAAGCTGTCTGCTGAGGGAAAGTTGCTTGGGCTGGGAAGGCAGGCTGCTGGAAACTGCCACTAAAGCTGGTGGGGAGACTGTAGGGAGCAGGTGTGCCAAAGCCTGCCGGCATGCTCATCGACGCAGTGCCAAAGGTTGCGGCTTATAGGAGAAAGAAAGGTTGATCAGATGTGTGCAAGCTTGTTTATTTCTCATACTCAACACTGTAGAACAGGTATCACTTACCTTCAAAAATCATGAAATGTACCTTTAAAAACATTTGAAATTCCAAAAGAACGTCAGAACTATATAGCCTATCTATGAAAATTTATTCTCTTGAAACTCGATGTCCACAAATTAGTAAAACTGTGACTTTTAAATTCAAGAACATTTCTCACACATAATTTTAAGTTCTGAAAGAGCAGTCTGCTCCTCAAAGCCCATCACTGTGAAAAATCACATATATATATCAGCACACAATTTGTTTTGTGCACACACCATGTGTGTACAAAACACACACACATATATAGTGCTCCTGGAAAGAAAAATTAGAACGTCTCTACAAGACCTAACAAAGTTACGGGGTTAGCGGTACACCACCCATGATCTGTAACACTTTAAACTCAGAGCCATCAAGAGAGTAAACCAACTCCAAAAGCAAAATACGGACTCTTCCTTTGCTGCAAGGCAAAGGAAGGCAGCTTTAGAAAGGGTTGCAAGAAGGTTGGGTTGCTGCTAAAGCACAGAAATCAATGCAAAACGTACACAGATTGGAAACATCAACATTCCTGACAGAGTAAATGGGCACTGCACAGAACACTATCTACTCCCTTGCCTGCACGTCTCACTGTCTTTACATGGTAGGCACAACAGGCACACAACGGAACTGTGTGAATCACTGACATACACTTGGTGTGCTACTTTTATTAACCTTAGTAACTGCTTATGAACTAATTCACACTACAATAAAACTATTATACTATTATTTCCTGCCTATAAATATTTAAAAAAATTAAAAATCAAGATAAATAAAAACATAATCATAAGACTGTTATCTTCTGGAAAGAATGTCAAATGAGTAAAGAAAAAAGTCATGTTTAAAAATAGATTTTGGGGGCGTGGCATGGTAGCCTAGCAGCTAAAGTCCTTGCCTTGCACACGCAAGGGTCCCATATGAATGCTGTTCTATCCCAATGGTCCCACTTCCCATCCAGTTCCCTGCCTGTGGCCTGGGAAAGCAGTCAAGGATGACTCAAAGCCTTGGGACCCCAGACCCAGGTGGGAGACCCGGAAGAGCTCCTGGCTCCTGGTTTCGGATTGGCTCAGCTCTGGCCATTGCGACTACTTGGGGACTGAATCACTGGATGGAAGATCTTCCTCTCTGTCTCTTGTCTTCTCTGCATATCTGATTTTCCAATGAAAACAAAATAAAGCTTCAAAAAATGGACTCCGAAAGTTACAACCAAATATTTTTATCATCACACTGTAGCTCACTAAATTCTCTGATCTTAGGAACCTTATCAACTCTCTGCTGACTCAAGGCACAATGAATACTACAAATGTTACACGAAATTTTTTTTTTTCAAACTAAAAAACAAGTTCAAAGTAGCCCTCATAGTTGTAAGGTAACAATGCAGCTTTTTTCAATGAACCTAACTAGAATAAAAGTTTTAAACATCATTTTTATACTTCATGAGGGAAACAGGAAAAACAGGTTACTGGGAAACACATGAATTAAAGAATGATGAAGACATTGCAAAAGAAACAAGAGGTTTGTGTAACACACAGCAATGCACCGACGTGATGTTGGCAATCACTTTCTAACAAAGCTCTAAAAAGCAAACTGGATACAGTGAAGCAATACCAAACTCCATGGAATAATGTGGCCAAATGGTTTTGGTACATCAAAAACATCTCCTCCATTTACTAGGAATTGAAACTAAGAATCAGAACAGCTACCAATATTCAAATATGACCATGGAGTTAAGCAATAATGCTTTCTATTCAGCATTAACCATAAATTGATAGAAAAGATTTTCACATATCTTTAAATACAATGTAATCCCAATGCCAAGCATTCATGCCCACTCCATCTTCAAACATGGGAAAAACTGAATTCCACATGCAAGGATCCAGAACACTAGCAGAAGCTTCCACAAGCGGGTAGACACACTGCCACACAGAGCTAAGGCATCAGCTGTGGCCACCTACCAAAGTGAGCGTGAGGGAACACTTGAGAATGCATTGCTCCAGAAAGGCCTTATGGAAAGGCATAAAGAGACCAATGTCATTAACTTATGGATAACTTTTTTCAAAAGTAAATTTACCTTGTTAAAGAGTTTCATTTACCAAGTGGATAGTATAACACATCAAACACATTAACAAGATGAGCCTTATAGTTAACTATATTCATGACAACATAATATTTATACTGTAAAAAGGGAGATTGGAATGACAATGTCAAAGATATTGGTGGCTTTCATTTTTGAAGATAAGTGCTGACACTTGTTTCACGTGAAGAAACAAGTGTAAGCGAGGTCTGCACTCCTGATGACCGACACCAGGATGCTATTCATTTACAAAATACAACCTTAAATTCTGGAGAACAGTCATACAATCCAGAAAACCAGAAATACACAGAGATAACTCAGATAAACTGGGCACTATGAGTCAATTTGATCTCTGTCTCCTGCTTTCTCTGAAATCTGAGTAAAAAAAAAATTTTTTTGTATACATATACACACTAAGAGCGCTGAAAGAAGGCAAAACACACATGAAAGGAAAAGGCACCTGTCACAACTCGAACCTTACAAGTGAGGACGGATGTCACAAAAAAGTATAACAGATAATCCACTAGGGTTGTCAAATACTAAAGCCCTTTCTGCCCACCCCCACTTTTTTTTTTAAAAGATTTATTTATTTTATCTGAAAGGCATATTATAGGGAAAGGAGAGACAGGGAAACATTCCAGCTGTTAGACCATGCCCCAAACTGTCCAGGCTTTTTAAGGATTTCCGACATGGGTGCAGGAGCCCAAGGACTTAGGCCATAACCTGCTGCTTTTCCAGCCATAAGCTGTACAGGAAGTGGAGCAGCTGAGACTAGAACCACTAACTTTATGGAATGCTAACGCTGCAAGGCAGAGGATTAGCCCGTTGAACCACTGTGCTGGTTTATTCAACAACTTGAAGTAGGACTGTTTTCAAAAAATGATTTCCATGCATTTTAAATTAATTATTTTATCAGCAAAACTTTTGGAGACAGGTGATTAAGAGATTTGAATAAGTCCTAAGTATATTTCTGGCTGTACAATATTATTTAATGACTATGAAGCCTCAATCCCGTCATCTGCAAACTAGAGTGAAAACAGAAAATCTTGCTTCTCCCCATTTTTACTCTTCCAAGAACACTTTTTCCCTGGATTTGTCCCTTAGCACCCTTGAGGGATAGCAATGGGACAAAATCAGAATTATCACTTCCCATCCCCTCCGAGTTGTTGTCATGACAAAAGCAAAGAGCAGGAGAAGGCAGCTGCTGGTCACAGCCTGAAGACAAGGCTCCATCAGCCTCTGCACCCGCTGCCTCCACAGCCCTAGGCTCAGCCTACCATGGACTGAAGACACTTGGGGAAGCACAGGGGTCTGTACTGAATATTTGCAGACTCTTTTTTTCTCACTGCCATTCCCTAAACAATATGGTATACAGTAATGATCCACAATCATATTTATATGCATTAGATATTTAAGGGAACCTGAAATGACTTAAGGTATTGAGGAAGACATTGTTAGATTTAACAAAAAGGAAAGGAAATGGAAGTAAAGACAGACAACGGGAGGTAAGAAAAGAGATGTTAGGAGAGGGAGCAGAGGAGAGAGGGAAGGATTAGGCAAGTCCATCAGTGGGCACTAGGTTATAGCTAGCAAGAACTAAGAAATTCTGGCATGCCACTGCACAGCACAGTAACAAGAGGAAATGCATTCTATATTTCTCCATTAAAAAAATAAATAAATAAACTGTAAGGCAAGAGTTACAACCAGTAATTGTGAAAGCAGACCAGTTCACACCCATGCCAAATCACACGTGTGGCTCTAATAGAGAAGTTGTCATCTCCATATCTGTACTGCCCTATCTGAAAGATCAAAGATTTGACTGTGGAAGTAAATGAGAGGTAATTCCAAGTCCCTCTTAGCTGTGAAATTCCACAATTTTACCAACTTTCCGCTAGTATCAGCCTTACACAAACTCTTCCATCTATCCCCCTTCACTTGTCAGACAGAGGTCCCCCTCCTGGTTTTTCACATGCTACTCTGCAACGCTTTTCCCAAGGCTCCCTGTCCCCGTTTCAATCTTACCTGTTGCTCCTCTGGCATTGGTCTGAAATGGATTTGTAGAAGATGCCACAGAGGGACCAGCAGCAGCAACAAATGGATTTGTGGAAGGCGTAGCTTTAAAAAATTATAAAATATAATGGATACCAGGTGTATCAGGGTGTTACAAGTTTTAAAATATTTCTTCAATATATTTATGAAGAAGAAAATTTGAATCTTCGGATGACAAAATACTTGAATGTTTTCTATTACTCCCACCCCAAATGCAATACAATATATAGACAGTGTGTATAAAACCCAGTGCATTCACCAGAAGCACCTACCTCCAAATGGAGCAGGCACGCTGGAAGAAGCTGGCTGTGTCTGTGCAGGAGCACCCACTGGCACTGTTCCAAACACATTGCTGAAAAGAGATGTTCAAAGAGTTAAATGTAAGACAGAGGAAAAAAAATAGACGCGGGGTTGGAGCTAGCCCATAGCAGACCAAGCTTCTGCCATGGCACTGGCACCCATTATGTTCTATTCCTCGCTGTCGCACTTCTGATTCAGCCTCCTGAATGTGTTCTGGAAAGAAACGCAAGATGGCCCAAGTCCTGGGATGCCCTATATCCACACAGGAGACAGTGACACAAGTCTGACTCCAGGCTTCAGATAGGCTCAACTTCAGCCACTACAGCCATTTGGGGAGTGAACCAGTGGACAGACAATGTCTCCCCTTATGTAACTCTGCCTTTCAAATTAAAGAAAAATAATAAATGTAAAACAAACAAAAAAGACTTGTAATCTCTCTATAGGTTAGCTATGAAACATAAAACACTAACCACGCAGTATAGCAGTGGGTAAACTCAAGTCTCAGGACATGTTAATATTTTCTCCCTAACTACCAAGACCTGATTAATAAGCAAACTGTGAGTGCTGCATTTTTCAATCAGAAATTAAAACTGGAAAAAAAATTGGCTTTAAATGTTTCATCCACTTAATAAACCCATTAGGTGGTAACACAAGCAGCACTTGGGAGTTAGCTACATTTTCAAATCAAAAAGGACTTAATGAGAGGAGTAGAACTGTTTTCGTTTTCCAAATTCTTTTAGCAGCTAACCGACAGAAGAGATTAAGTTATAACTTTTTTGGCTGAAGTGCATGAAGGAAATATGGCCTTACAAACAAAGCTGAATAAGAGACAACCATTTTTTATTAGCCCTTTCAGGAGTTGGTGAACCTACCCTTTGATATCATGCTGAAAACACTAACAGTCATTTCCGAAAGGTTAGTTGTTCTGGAAGTTGAGACCAGATCAATGAACAGCTTACCCCATTCACACTTACAACGCTTTAACCTTTTTTCATTTATTTGATATGCAGAGTAACAGAGAAGAGGATACATGTCTTCCCTCTGCTGTTCCACTGTCCAAATGCCAGGCTAGGCCAGGTCCAAATAAGGAGCTGGAACTCCAAGTGTCTCTAATGAACGGCAAGGACCAAGTCACCTGCTGCCCCCCAGGGTATAGGTCGGCACCAGGCGTGACAGGGAGAACAAGGACCCCAAACGCAGCACACCAGTGTGGGGTGCGGGTACCCCCAGAAAGCTGCTAACCTTTCACTACATTAGCCCCTCACCGCACTTTTAATTAGGCTTAGGAACTTCATATTGCACATTAGTCATTCAGAAAATACTTGTTTAAGGAGTTATGCTAACTTGCCAAATTTTGACCTATTTAAGTGAAATTAAAAGCCACAGCCTTTAATGTAAAAAACCATATCATCAGAATATTAATAGCAAACTGTCAAGTTCAAGGTGGAACCTGTACATTTTCCACAATTGTTTGACAGCATTATTTTAATCAGTCATTTCCCTTAAGGCAACAGATTTAAGAAGTTCATTTTTTTCTTAAAGACTTATTTATTTTCACTGGAAAGTCAGAGTTACATAGAGAAGGAGAGGCAGTAAGTGGTTCAGTGCCCGAGTGGCTGCAACAGCTGGAACTGAGCCAATCAAAAGCCAGGAGAGAGGAGCTTTTACCAGGCCTCCCATGTGAGTGCAGGGTCCCAAGGCTGTGGGTCATTCTCCACTGCTTTCTTGGGCCACAAATAGGGAGCTGAATGGGAATGGAAACAGCCAGGACAAGAACCAGCACTTGGAGGTGGAGGATCAGGCAGTTGAATCATTGTACTGGCTCTTTTAACAAATTCATTTTTCAGAAAAATGACAAACACACTTGAATAATCAGTTTTTTTAAAAAATACTATATATCTATTTGAAATGTTGCTTTCATGAAGAGGAGAGACAGAAATCTGCTATTTGCTAGCTCACTTCCTAAATGGCCGTATAGCTGGAGCTGAGCTTATCTAAAGCCAGGAGCAAGTGGCTTCTTCTGCATCTCTCACGTGGATGCAGGATCCCTACGCTACGAGTCTTCTTTCCTTCACTGCTTTCTCTGGCTATACGCAAAGAGCTGCATAGAACTGGAACAGCTGGGACATGAACCAGCACCCATAGGGATGCCAGCACCACAGGCCGAGGCTTTGCCTGATGTGTCACCATGCTGGCACCAAAATAACCAATTTTGAATTATTAAATCTTTAACCTTAAATGAGCATGCTTTTTGCACTTAACAAAGACATCAAGTAGTCATGCACACTGAAGCATGTGATTATCTTGAAGAAAATTATTTGTGTAGTTTGTATTATGGGGTTATTTTACGAAACACTATATATATATATTTTTTTGAAACTGTTAACTGACAACTGCCTCTTAGGCCTTAGTACTTCTCAGGTTGTTTTCTCAAAGTTAAGTCTGTACAACTTGTGAAGAACTGTCCACTTTCAGATAGCTATACATACTCTTTGAATTGCATTTTAACATTCAACAATGAAAGCAGCGAAACCTTGGTTGCATTAAGTATAAATTGTGATGGCTCACTGTTGTTTTTTGAAAGGATTCTTTTGAAAGGCAGAGGTGCAGCGAGGGAGAGGCAGAGGGACAAAGATAAGAGTCTTATATCCACTAGTTCACTGCCCAGGTGGCTGCTCCAGCCCATGCCAGGCTGAAGCCAGCTGTCAGAGTATCCTCTGGGTCTCCCACAATGGTGCAGGGGCCCAAGCACTTGGACCATCCTCTGCCACTTGCCCAGGATCTGGTCAGAAGTAGAACATCCAGAACTTAACTGCTGCCTCCATGGGACACCTGCATGCCCATCAAACACTAAGTTTATAAGCAAATTCCCTCAACTTTCCTCAAATTTTGAAAACTATTCATCAACTTAAAAGTTATATGCTCAAATAATCATTATTTAACCACCCTGAGGGGAAAAAAAAAAAGAAAAATACAACAATAGAAAATATAAAGACAAGATACCTGCTAGCATTACTTGTGGAAGTGTATGCATTACTGGACGTGGCCGCAGAGCTGAAAACACTGTCGAGCTCCGCCAGGGCTGCATACTTGTCTGAAGACGCACTAGGCTGACTGGGCACTGAGACCACAGCCCCAACCGGAGCCTGACTTGTGCTCCCAAAGCCACTCCCCTGGTCACCACCTGGGAACAGAGAGCAAAGCATAAATTTAAATGAATACAGATAAATGTACAACTGATGTGTAGCTAAAATAACCCAATGGATGAGACCTCCTGAATCTTAGTCTAATAACTCAAATAATACTGTTTAAGATTATTAGTTGCTCTACATACCTCTAGGGTAGATAGAACACTGTTTCAATTAACAGCTAAGACTGTGACCAATAACATACCAAAGTAATTCAAAACACGAGATCTCACTCAAGTCAACATATAAATCCAAAAATACTGGATGTAATGTGAATAACACATCAGTACCATTTTCCCAGTTTTCAAAAATAACTCAGCATTTCCAGGCATTGTACACGAAGCACTGTTCCAAATGCCCGACATATATACACAGAATGCAGCCGCATGCCTTCAGTCTCGCTATGCAGACACAAGGCTGCACAACGCAGTCTACACCGGATGCCTGATGCAGGCCACTGCCTTCTGTAGAGACACATTACAGACCTGAAAACCAAGACTGAATATAAAATGGTTTTAGAAAAATGTACTATGAAATATAGAGAATATTTCAAAACGAATATATTATAAGTAGTACCAAATTAACCTAGTTAGCTGTAGTGATAGTCTTTAGTCTCCCCTATGGCGATTAAAAACAGGCTTTCCAGGAAAAAACAATTTCCTCAATTATATTTTTTAAATTGTTTTTTTAAAAAATTAGTTTTTGTCATCAATTTTGAAGCACAAATTGAGGGCACCATTTAGTATATGTGCTGCCCAAGTGAGCACAGAGGGCACCATTTAATATAAAATATGTGTTGTTTTATTTAAAGGGTGGTACCTTGCCCAGCACTGAAGATGTTGTCTAAATTAGCAAGGGCCGCGTATTTGTCTGCTGTCGGCAAACTAGCTTTGTGTGCTGAAACTTTACTAACAGCTGAAGCTGTCTGATGACTCTGCGAGGTGTTGAAGGCTCCAAAATCAGCACTGGAGGATTTGGGGAAGTTATCAAAATGAGCAAAATTAGCATTTACTGATCCAGCACTTCCACCTGTAACAGAATAAACAAAACACTTGAAATTTCCATACTTTTCCCAATACCTTTTGGTAGATGATACGATCATTTCTTCTTAAAGTAAGGGCTCAATAAACACTGAACATTTTCTATGATCATGTATTGAATCTTATAATCACAGATATTATTAAAATCAAAGACTGGTAAATGGCATTTAAATTTATTCACCTACACAGACTTCTTATCATTTTCCAAACTAGAATTTTAAAGGCCTGGGTAACATGAAAAAGGACATGATTCTGGATTTAATTATCTACTATGAAGTAAAGGATATAATTCAGAGCAGTAACACATGCTACCTCCAGATTCAGTTACTTTACAGAATATCCAGCTATTTGCAATTACTACAATGTTTACTAATTCTTTCTGTAAAGCTCTACAATTAAGATGTAAAATATCTTGCTAGTGGAATTCAAGCATTTTTAGCTTTGTGGTAACGTGTTTCAAACAAATGTTTAAGGTTTATTATTTTGATCCAGCATTTAAGTGAAACTAACACTTTTTAAAAGAGCTATTATTTATTTCTACCTAGTAATTTAATGGGAATATAACATCATATGTTTGGTATTGCCACAGATACCACATAGTTCAAGGCATATAAATCATAGTATAGAATAAAGCAATTTTTGACCTTGTAAAGCAAAATCAACTAAAGGACACTATGGCGTTTCTCCTACTATTCTGTTTCCTAGAGACCTTCTAAAGTACTAAAACAAGACTCAAGTCAGTATTTCTTCGTTGTTCTTGATTTTTACAATTGAGATACTAGTTCTCTATTCCTAAACCTCAGTATAAGCAATCAAACTAGGAAAAGAGATGTTTGATCAAATCTATTAAAACATCTGCATCATTATGGTGCCAACCCTGGAGAAGTAATATCTTAAACAGCTGGACTCCTGGCACCCACACGATAAGCCTGTACTAAGGTTCCAGATACCAGCTCCGATCTTGGCCACTGTGGGCATCTGGGGACTGCTTTTTGGAGTGGGAGTTGTCTCTACGCTTCTAAAACTTAAACAAACAAACAAAAAAAGGCATGAACATATATTTTAAAGTGACAGCAAAGTGCAGATATTATGAAAGCAGAAGCAGCAAACTATCACTGGGCACCTCAGTTTAGATATCCTAAATCCAACAGACAGAAAGCTTCTTTAAGGGATTAAATTCTGGTTGTTTCAACTGAAACCAAGAAACATGTGCTAACATTCAAAACATAATGTTGCACTACAAGCACCAAAGTACATATTAAACTTTCTAAATTTATACAATTTAATTTCAAATAATTAAAAACTGTATTGACTTTATTGTATAGTATTCTGCTCTTTCTAATTTCTCAAGGAGATGGCAAATCAAATCATTAAAATGTTAAAAAACTGTTATAAACACTCACAAAATACAACATACATATACAGATCAGTAAAAGAGCCTATGTGACAGCAAGACTTACTGTGGGTAGCCTGGAGAGGAAAAGCGGAAGTGAATTCACCAAAGCTGCAGCTAGATGAAAGCATTCTAAATGCTGGACAGCCAGACAGTACGTAAATGACGAAAGTTAAGGAAAAAAAAAAAAAGAAAATTGAAAGAAAAAACTTTCAGACATATGTACAGAGTTAAGAGTTGAAGGAAAAGTAATCAAGCAAAGATCTAAATAAGGTAGAGTAGCCACAGCCAAGTCCAATTTCTGCACAGAAAAGTATCTCCTCGTTTTATTAAGGGATTCTTAAATCATCTAGCTTTGATTCATTATGTTTAAAACTTTTTCTCGAACTAATTGTCCTGAAAATTAACATTTTTGGTTTCATGCAAGCGATTTGTTCCACTGATTCAGAGTCTAACAGCCTACATGTTTCCACCAGCCCAAGCAACTCTCTCTCAGTACTTTACTGCCTCTGTGCGAGGAAGATTCCTGTGCAGGAAGAGGAGGAAAGACAACTGACATGTCGGATCAGATGACATGACAAGGAGCTCAGAAAAACAAATGAACATACAAAAACAAATAATAATAAGCAGGTAAGCAGGTTTCCCCAGAGCTTTTTAAGAAACAACTACTTTAAACTCACAAAATTTCAGTCTAGAGTGTTTTCCAAGCAATACCTAAAGTACTCTGCTCTTTAAAGGAGACATTTAAGCATGACGCTGGAGAAGCTCTACCTGTAGTTTGGGGCTGAAAAGCAGAATGACTTGCTGTGGGGAAACCTCCAAAATTACTCGAACCACTAGACTGTCCAAATGCATCAAAGTTTGCAAAATCTGCATTTGCAGAATTCTGAGCTGTAAATGGTAAGGAACAACATATGTTAATGAATATGAAACTACAAATGAAAATACATGACAAATGAATTTAACATTTCTTATGGAAACTGTCGACAAATCACAACTCATTTTAAAGAAAATTCATTTAGACACCAGTCCCTAAACTCTGCCAGTATTGACCTCAATTACAATTTCCTGAAGGGCACCCAGAAATTTCCAAACACAATCTATGCTTTCTGAGTGATAGGAAGAATGGTACTATAAAAATGATTCTATTAACAAAGAAAACTGAATTGGGCCTGGCACAATGGCCTAGTGGCTAAAGTCCTCGCCTTGCACACATTGGGATCCCATATGGGAACCAGTTCATATTCTGGCTGCTCCACTTCCCCTCCAGCTCCCTGCTTGTGGCCTGGGAAAGCAGTGGAGGATGGCCCAAAGCCTTGGGAGCCTGCACCTGCGTGGGAGACCCAGAAGAAGATCCTGGCTCCTGTGGCCACTTAGGGAACAAATCAGCAGATGGAAGATCTCTCCATCTGTATCTCCTTATCTCTGTATATCTGCCTTTCCAATAAAAACAATTTTTTTCCTTAAAAATAAAAAAAACTGAAAGCATAAAATGTGAGTTAGAGAAAGCAATCTAAAAATTTCACTTACTTAAAATAACTAGCCATGTGATTCTGAATAAGTACCTGAGGCAATGATGCAGACATTTCTCAGTTTACAAGAACCTTGTATCAAAGGCATATAAAGGTGGGCAAAAAGCCTACTTTATAATGAAAGGCATCATCAAAACACTGAAGATATTTGCATGCTGCTAATTTTAAATTTGCAATCTATAATTTTAATCTTATAATAAAATTTAGGAACCAATAAAAACTAGTAGATACTGTAACAAAGTTGTACTTATAGTGGGTGGAAAAACAGATTTAGTTTCTCAACTAGTCCTTAATTGAGGCCTCAAATTTCCAGACTTCCTCAAAACTCTTTTCAAATTTTAAACAAGAAAAACAATTTAAGAAGTGTTATAAGCCAAAACAAATGATAAGAAATGGTGTATATGGGAAAGAAAATGCTAAGAGGCAGAATGTAAAGCACATCAAACAACACAGAAAGTTTCAATATCGTGAACACAGTAAAAAGCAGCTAATTTATATCATTTGCAGGTAATTCCACTTCCAGGAAGTTTCGTAGAGAAATTATCTTATGAGGCCAGGACCATGGCTCAACAGACCAATCCTTCACCTGCAAGCGTGAGCATCCTACATGAGCGCAAGTTTGTGTCCCTTCTGTTCCACTCCTGATCCAAATCCCTGCTAATGGTCTAGCAAGGCAGCAGAGGCTGGCCCAATTACTTGGGACCCAGTACTATGAGGGAGACCAGGAAGGAGCTCTTGGCTCCACTGACTTAGCTATGCCTGCTGCAGCCAATGGGAAGCGATCAGTGGAAAAAGATTTCCCTCGTACCTCTCTCTGTAACTTTACCTTTCAAATAAAAATAAATGCACCTTAAAAACAATCATGCACAGGCTACCGGATGCTCCACTTCCATCCAGCTCCCTGTTTATCACCTGGGAAAGTAGTGGAAGATGGCCCAAGTCCTTGGAATCCTGTTCCTGTGTGAGAGATTCAAAAGAAACTCCTGGCTGCAAATCAGCTCAAGTCCGGCCTTTGTGCCCATCTGGGGATTGAGCCAGTAGATGCAGTTTCTTTATCCCAGACTTTCCTTTCCTCTGTTAATCAGACTTTCAAATAAAAATAAATAATCTGTAAAAAAAATCTTTTGCAGGCTCCAAGCTCCAGGATCCCATTTGGATGCTGGTCTGTGTTCCAGCTGCTCCACTTCCCATCCAGTTTCCTGGTTATGACCATGGAAAGTGGTAGAGAAGGGCCCAACACCTTGAGAGCCAGCATCTGAATGGGAGATCAGGAGACAGCTTATGGCTCCTGTCTTCAGATCATCTCAGCTTTGACTGCTGCAGTCATTTGGGGAGTGAACCAGTGGATGAAAGATCTATTTCTTCTTCTGTCATTCTGCCTTTCCAATTAAAAATAAATAAATCTTCTAAAAATGTGTATTTTGCAAATGAGTATGGTTACACCTAAACACTAAACTGTTTTCTAAAATGGTAAAAACAAATTTAGAAAATCAACTGTTCACCAAAAACAGATCCCTTAAACAGCAAACATACCATGCAATATAAGGGCTGACACCGAAAAAAATCATGTAAAATGATACATAATCCCATTAAAACGTAATACCAAGGTAAATAAAACAAGTTAATAAACTTCAGATAGCTTTCATCTGTCAACTTTGTTATATCAAATATGACATTTTATTACATCAAATATGGCACTTCCAGAAGTGGATTTCAAATCAATACCATTCTCTTCTTATCTGTCAAGACTCTGTCAAGCTTTTGAAATGAATGCATATTCTATTTATAAACAAATCAAAGGAAGTTACTAAATAAAAAATCTTCGAATAAGAAAGCAACATTAATCTAGAAAGGAAAGCATAGATCATATTATATTAACCACTGTTCTTATATAAATCTGAAGGGACGTGACAGTAAGAAAGCAACTATATCTAAAATACGCTATTTCCCTTTACAAGTTGTCTTTGGCACTCTACTCCTTTGTTCTAGTATGTGGGTTGCTCTCATTCTCAAAAAAAATGTGTGTCACAAAAAACGTGTACTAGACACAAATGACAAAGATAGCAAATTTGTTGTACTAAACATCTTTTAATTTCATCTTTTCATGAACTTTCGAAGTACCCTTTTTTTTGGTGTAGCACACTAAGCCTCTGCCTGCAAGCACCAGCATCCCTTGTGGGTACTGGTCTGTGTCCCAGGTACTCCACTGCATGCTTATCCCTGAGAAAGTGGCAGAGGATGGGCTCAGGTTTTTGGGATCCTGAACCCAGGAGAGACTCAGAGGAAGTTTCTAGCTCCTGGCTTAGCTGTGCCCACTGTGGCCATTTGCAGATTGAATCAGTGGAAGAAAGATCTCTCTCTACCCCTGTGTCTCTCCCTCTCTCTATAAACCTGCCTTTCAAATAAAAATACATAAATCTTTAAAAATGTAAATGGCATGCTTTCTGAATACCTTTCATTCAAAAATTCAATAATTTCCAGAAAATAAAAATAATGAAAGGTAATTTTTAAGAATTTCTTCAAATATATTCCGGAAAATAGCTACACAAAATTAACAAATGTAATAAAAAATGTGATTAAGATTATAGTTACCATACAATGCTGCTAAGAATACAGTGAGCAAGTGCAGTTCGTGAAAAGGGACTGTGGGTTAACAATCGGGAGACTTCATCCTAACTGCATACATAGCCTTTATAGCACCTCATGGCTTCCTATCAGCTTTTTCACTAACAATTGTTATTGCATAATTTCTGAGATAAAAGAAAGAAGCTCTTTACAATCTTTCACATACTAGACTGAAAAGTCTAGTAAAGACAAAGTTCTACCACAAACATATATAACTAGACAGTGCAAAAACAGAACACGCGTAGGAAGTTCCAGTTTACTGTGCACTATATTCCAAAATGCAAGTTTTTGCTTTTTTGAACAACTTAGTCATTCATTCATTTATTTTTATATGAAAGGCAGATTTTATAGAGAGGAGAGACAGAGGAATCTTCCATGTCTCCCCAAGGGCTAATCACCGCTAATAGCCAGGGAGCTGGCCCAGGTCTCTCCCCTGGGCCCAGGGTCCCAAGGACTTGGCCACCCTCGGCATCTTCCCCATGTGACAAGCAGGGAACGGGATCAGAAGTGACGTAGCCAGGAATCAAACCAGATCCAACAGGGGATGCTGGCACTGCAGCCTGAGGATAAGCTTGCTGAGCCACCATGCCAGCACTTAAAGCAAATCAGGTCAGAGGCTGGTATTTGTGGCTCAGGTAAAGCTGCTGCTGGGACAAGCATCCCACAGTGGTAACAGTCTGGGTCTCCGGTGCTCTACTTGTAATCCAGCTCTCTGCTAAAAGGAAAAAGGAGCAGAGGATAGCCCAGTGATCGCACCCCTGTAACCAAGCGGGAGGCCCTGCAGAGGCACCTGGCTTCAGCCTGCTCAGCACTGACAGCCACAGTCACTTGGACAGGGAACAAGCAGGTAAAAGACTTCTGTGCCTGCCTTCCCTACTCTCATTACGAAGAGAGAGAAGACAAATGAGGTTCACAGCACATGCTTTCCTATTACTCAAGCCCACTTTTAAATCATATTTTCTTGGTGTTTTCCACACAGAATCTCAAACACTTTAATGAAACACAATCGATGAAAACGAGGGGCTTTCAATTTTTTTTTATCAGTTTTCATTTCTAGTTACTGAATATAATCACCATCTCCAAGGACTGTTGTTAGTAAAATTAAGGATCTGCAAAATTAAAAATGTATTAGTGCTTAATTTAAACACAAATAAACCCATTAATTAAAAAAGGACTATCTTGGCATTCAAGTAAATTCTACAAACTTTAAGGAATTTAATCTAACCCATTTTGAGATACCTTTGTTAATATCTAAAGATTATAAGAGAATAAAAATGACAGTGCAATTCCTTTTGTGAAACACAGGCATACACATACACTTCAAGGTCTATATTACATGCACATCTATATATACATATACATACATGTCTATGTTGGGGGAAAGAAATGAGAGACAGAAAAGAATGCATTAAGCCTTCCAGGTGAGTTATCTCATTTGAACTTTACTACTTAGGTAAACAAAACTAATTTATAGGGCCTGGCGCTGAGGCGTAAGGCTAAAGTCCTCGCCTTGAACCCGCCGGGATCCCATATGGTAAATCAAAGACTGTATGTAAAGAATTTTACCAAAAGAGTTATCTCTTCGGTACCCAGTCTAAGGCTGTTTCTATCCCACAGATGGGGAACAAAAATAAAGTGAGATATAACAAATATGTAATATAAGAAGCAATGATGACACTAAGGGAACATGGGCATAAAGGGGCATCACCACGTATCAGTTAAGGATGAAACAATTTTTTCTCTTGAACTGGAAAGAACAAAAGCATGCCACATGGATGCTCAGCCCTGTGGAACAACCATCTATGTTGGCACACACAAGATCTCTGGCTAGCACCAGGCCTGGTTGGGGAAGAAGGGGACGCTACAGCTGGGTTGGCGTTGCCACTGGTGAGCGTGAGAGTTGGAACGGCAGCAGCAGGCTGGGCTGGACATGGCTACAGTCTCCCTCAGAACAGTTGTGCACTGGGTCTGGGGAGTGCCAGACTGGGTCAGACTCCAGCATCCACTGGTATTTGTGAGAGCCAGGGTGAATGTAGAACAGGCTGGGCTAAGTTTCGACTCCTGTTGAGCCAAGTGAGAGCTGTGTCTGGGTGTGGACCAGGTGTGGTTGGGATGCAGCACCCAACAGTGAGAATCAGAATGGGTGCGGCCCTATTTGGTAAGGACACTGTCCTACCGAGACAGGAGGTGGACAAAATTAACCTGGACCAAGGACCCACTGGTGTGCACAACAACTGCCACTGGGAGGAGAGCCAATAGAGGAACTAGGGAAACTGTTCTGTCAGGATGCAGCCCTTGCAGACGAGTGCAGGAACCATAGCAAAAGGAGCAGCTCAGAGCAGCTCAGAGCAGGCCAGAGCAGGCCAGAGCAGGCCAGAGCAGGCCAGGCTCCACTACCTGGCAGCACACACGTGGGTCAGGTCATGGGGCAGGCCTGTTCCAGCCCTGGCCATTACAACCAGCCGGGGCTGGAGCCAGAGGACAGCAATGCTGTTTCTCCTCTCTGCTGCTGCTGCTACATTCAAATAAACAAATAAGTCTTAAGAAACAAAAACTGCCACAGACTAAGCTAAATCTTTAATTAAAAAAAATTAAAAGTTCACATAATTAAGAGGGATGCATGATTAGGGTGGGGAGGGATGAGGTGTGGAGGAACTGGGTTAGCTAAATGTTTCAGTTCTTTTTGCTTCTTTTTATTCCTCCTGTGTGTTTGGGGGACAGGGGCACATGGACAGGGGACAGACTGCTCCTTGCTGTCAAACTATATCAGTGCCCAGGGAGAGTGGGGAGATAATCATTTGATGTCACCTTAGAGATCCCAAAATGAGGAAGAATGCTCCTAGGCATGGCTGAAGCAGTCTTGATAGCTCTGAGACATTGTCAGCATCATTGCACCCAGCTGAGAAAATGTGTTTAGGGTTCACTGTCTGATTGGGTCTACTTTGGTGTATCCACCAACTAAACACTTGCTGTAAAGTCTGGTCTGGAGAGCTGAGGCTAAAAAAGGTTTTAAGACAAATATTTGAGAAGGAATATAATTTTTTATAATGGATCCAGGTCTTAAACACCAATAGCAAACATTGGAAAAAAAAAACTAATATATACATATACACACAAAATCCAAAATTTTGCTCCTGTTAAACCCTATGGAGTAACGCCCTAGTCACCCTCTTCACCAATGCATACACAACAAAGGCCTATAACTGACTGAGTTATCTGAATCCAGGGCACAACAGTGGCACAAACTATCGATTTCAACAGGACAATTTGGAGAGGAAAAGAGGCGGAAGAAGCTGCAGACAAGTATTCTACTTTTCTGCTGAAAGAAATCTAATCCACATCTCACAGTAACGATGCTCTTATGTGACCAAAAGCACCACAGTTTGCTCCATATTAAGTTTGAACAGTTATAAATGACCGTTTACTCTCAACTGAACATGTTCATTGATATTTAAATTCAATCAAGTATGGATGTTTCCTGGGGTTTTGTAAAGATCCTGGGCAAAAGGTGCCAGGAAAAACACTCACCTGCATGACTATTGAAATGTGCAAAGTTAGCAAAATTGGCGGTAGCTGCTGACTGAGGGGCTGGGGCAGCAAAGATGTCTGATCCAAGGTCACTCAAAAGGTCAAACTGCTTCTTTTCTTGTTGCTGTCCTTGAGAGCGACCTACAACTGGAGACTAAAAGCCAAATATTAGATACATAACTTTACATGAAACCAGCTCCAATTTATCAACCTTAAAGCATATATGGAAGTTACAGTATGCTGACTTAATTCCTCTCTCCATTTTTATACTATGAAAATAAGAGTTATCACATGTGCTAGAATGCATTATTTGATGGGGTAGGGTTTAACCCACACCACAAACCTTAAAACCATTCTTAACACCAGCAGTTGTGATGTGTAACCAATGTTAGCGTTCCATCAACTATACTGAAGTGCACAAGCACAAACTGCAGGCACCAACTAGGGAAAAAAGCCAGTCTTCAGTTTTTTAGAATATGATGCAAAGCCACTTTAGTTTCAACAACATGCTCCATAATCAAACATGTAGGAAAACCCCCTTGCTTAACCTTTCCTATGTCAAGCTTCTATGTCACAGAAGCTATTAACTCATATTCACCAGATTCATGTCTTACTAATTTTGTGCATTGTAAACAATTATAGCAACATACTGCCTTGACAAAACCACAAAGAAATTCATTAGTGGTAAGAGCAAAATTATATTCTACTTAACTAATAATGCTTGAGTTATTACAAACCATCAGTACACAATGCTACTGGCATTCTGAAAGAATGCTTAAAGGATTCTCAACCCTTGGTCATCATGAAGAGGTCTCCACGAAGTCTCACACCACCCACCTGACTAGGTGTGCCTTTATTTAAGTGCAGTGCTGGTGCAGAGTCTCCGAGGAGCGACTTCAGCGGTTTGACCTCCGGTGTGCTGCTGGTGCTGCTAGCAGAGGAGCCGGAAATAGACGCATGAACAGATGCCACCACTTTGGCTTGTTCTGGCGGGACATACCTGAAACATGTGAAAATTACAACAGGTTGCTAACTAAGAAAAATGTAAATCCGACACTTAAAACGATAAGCTAATTAGATCCCTATAAAATGGTTTCAACATTTTAATCTTATTTGAAAATTCTTTCACTTAGGATTGATAGTTTAAAGCTATGCTTAACTGAAATATTCAGATCAAGACTAATGAAGAGTAAACACAGAACTTATTTCAATTATTTATCATTTTAAGATTACACAAATCACTTTTTAAAAACAGAAAACCTATCATTAATAACCATAAACTATTTAAGACTATAAATTATGAAAACTAAAATGTCTTTATAGATCATAAAATAATTGTAGAAACACGAACAGGTAGATTAAACACTCTATTTCAGTTAACAGGATAAACATAAAGGTCTATTACAAATCTGCAACTTCAATAACCCATTTTAAATAGAGAAGTCCACACATACAAGGCAATACAAACAAATGTAGCTATCTATAACCATGGTGGGATGCACCTTTCAGCTGAGTGCAAACGCTACCAACTTTCTGCCGCCGACTACCAGCTAGACCATTACCAACATGCTCTGTGCCCCAGAAGTGCCGCTCTCAGAAATCCACCTCCAGGATTTAAGTGCACAATGAACAGGCATATACAATGTCAACACGATACTTTACATAATACTAAAACTGGGAAACAAACCACTTAGCAGGAGGAAAATATTTAATTCATGCTACTAATCTCATAATGCTTTACAAAATCGTATCACTTTAACATGAAAAGATGTCTGAACACCTTCATATTTTTCAGGCTTGATATCAGTCACATTAATATGGGATATGCAGAGAGTAAAGAAAGTGCAGTATGAATACACGCCTAAATGTCAACAGCAACGCTAACCCAAGTGCTAGAATCCAGACGAGGTCGGGCACGTTCAGGGTGGTATGGCCGTAGACAAGCACTAGAATTCAAATGTGGGCTTTTGCCCTTCCCCACCTCCTGCACCTCAGACCCAAGAAGGTGAAGGAAATTGGGAAGCAATAATTTAGGAGCACCCATTTCAGAGTTCAATCACAGTTCCACCACTCAAAGACTATGAGAAAATTAAATTATTATTATTATTATTATTGCTGGAGATATGATTGCTATGAGCTTGAAACCACCTCACATTTTTAAAGCACTTAGAACAATTCATGGAACAGGCGCTAGCATAAGTGTAAACTATTATTAAATCATGTAATAATTACAAAAAAATAAAACTACTTTAAGCAAAAGGGAGAGAAAAAACATGAGCTAGGAAATGATTTTGAAAACTAGTCAAAAGACCAATTTCCAAATCCCTTTGCAAAACGAATGCCTACAGTACCCCACAAATGCAGTATTTCTGCTGCATTTGAAAATGCCTGCATCTTTTTTTAAGCTCTTCTAATTAATCTAGACCATGTTACTGGTAGGCAGATGCACTGTGTACAAATCTACAAGTCTGGGCTTCTTATTTGATGTTTACCCTCATCTATCCCACCACTCCACGTGCAGGAAGAAAAAAATAATATGAATTACAATTATTTAAGATTTGTTTTCAGTAATTTAAGGTTACAATTTGGAAGAATATTGTAAGACCTCAGCTAAACCCTAACTATGCTAACCTTAGTTGATGAAAGTAACACTGATGACAAGTATAAAAATTAAGTTCTGCAGGAAGTCTTAGCTAGGGTGAATAACTACTAAAAATGAAAATGATAAAAAGATAGTACATCTTACATTTTAAAACATTACTTGTGCCACATTTTAAATATCACCTATATTCTAATATTTTCTCATTTCCTGAACTAAAATTTTGTTGCTCCCTTTTTAATCTTTAATCTGCAGCCCTACCTAATGTATCTAGCACAGCTGAACAGTCCTGGCCAATCCTGACATAAATAGTATCTACTGCTCCAACAAAGCCACAGCCCAGTGTCCCTCAGGACAACGGGCTCCGAAGGGCTCTCTTTCTGGGTTAAAACACCATTTCCTCAGGGAAATAAGCAGCAGGCACTGCCCCATTAACTTTTTTGTGACCCTTCTCTACCTTAACCTACCAAGAAAAATAGTAATTATTAATAAAGCCTCCAAGGAATTGCATTAGCCACAGTTACTGAGTCTTAAATCGTGCTGACATAGTGAACAGTGATGAACTCTGGGTAGTTCACTGCAGACCCTGCCAGGCTGGGAAGCACACACTACTAACAAATACAACCCATCAGAGCTGCTGCTTAATTTAGTACCAATGAATTTTTAAAAAAGGAACATAAGTATTCTCTTCACCAGCTAGTAAACTGACTTCTTGGGTGGAAAGCAAGGAATATTACGAATGACGACATTGTGCAAGATGCAATTAAGTGATCTTAAGAAAAAGTTTAGAGAAGTGAACGGGTCTTGGGAAGCTTGTGAAAAGGATGGGAGACTTGCCAATCATGAGCTCAAAGCAAACAGAGGTCTGCCTCCCCCACCGGCCTATCCCACTTACCACCTCCTACCTACGTTCCCGCCTTTTACTGCCTGCTTTATAGTCTACTTTCTTTCCCGTATCATGTCAATCATGTCTGCTCAACCTCACCCATAATTAATGCAATTAGGGGAGCCTTTATTCTAAAAAACAAACAAAACATTATTCACTCACCATCTTTTCTTTTCATATTTTTCTTGTAGAAACTCTTTCACTTTTTGTGGATCCCTGAAGTCTGGAATTGCTGAAGATCTATCATCAAATAATCCTAGCCAAATCTGTTTACAGACCTTGGGAAAGAATATAAAGGAAAAAAAAACTGTTAAATTCATCTTCACCTACTGAACTTTTTAAGGGAAAAAAGCTAACTCATTTCGTAATTTTACTGGCATTGCTTTCAATAAGGTTATTTCTTATTGTAAGAAATGAAGCGAGGCTGCTGCAATGGCTCAACTTGCTGATCCTCTTCCTGCAAGAGCCAGCCTCCCATGTGGGCGCTGGTTTTTGTCCTGGCTGCTCCACTTTCCTTCCAGCTCCCTGTTTGGGCCTGAGAAAGCAGTCGAGGATGACCCAAAGCCCTGGGACCCTGCACCAGTGTGGGAGACCTGGAAGAGGCTCCTGTCTCCTGGCTTTGCATTGGCTCAGCTCCCATTTGGAGAGTGAACCAGTGGAGGGAAGATCTCTCTCTGTTTCTCTCTGTAAAATCTGCACTGACAATAAAAATAAATAAATCTTAAAACAAAAAGAGAAATGAAGAAGCTAAGCTTACTTTATCACTGCAGAATGAATTAAAACTTATTAATAGAATCACAGGGGCTTGAAAAATCAAAGAGAATCTGTGAGGAGCAAGAGGTGTTTTGCATTTGACATGATCATAATGTATAAACCATTAGTAAATCAAAAAACTGGTATAACCACAAACACAAAAGACTGGACCAGTAGTGATTTTATAAACCATTTTAACAAGCTTAACTATCAGCCATTAAGAACAAAAAGCAAAACTTGTTGTTAAAGTACAATAAACAAAGATACGAAAGGTAAAAACAAGACACTACAACTCCAGCTTTTCAGCTCCCTCCTATGCCTTCTGCCCAACGCACACAAAGTGAGAATCTGAGCAAGTAACTAATATTCAGAAAAACAATACAAAACCTGGGGCAAAAAGAAAAAAGTGATAAAGAGGATGCCAATAAAATTAAAAACTAAATTATTCAAAGAATTTAAAAGAAAAAAATTGAAAAGGCAGGCTACTAACTGATATAAAGCATTTGCAGAATGAAAAACACCTTTCAAAAACTTAAATATTTTTAACATATCATAATAACTTGAAACAACTTCAAAATATTTTTTAAAAAAACTCCTACAGTTTAATTATTAAGAGTTAAATACATTTTTAAAAGAAGGGGAAATGATTTGAACAGAAATTTAAGATATGCAGATGCCAAATAGGCACCCAATATCACTAGTCATGCAGAATATGAAAATTAAAACAGCACTGGGAGCCCAGGACATCCACATCCACAGAGCACAGGAAAGACACAGCCTAACTAGATTACACGTTTGTGAGAATGTAAAATGGAATCGCTATGAAAAACATCTGCCAGTTTTCAAAAAAAAAACAAGCACACAACTAGCACACACCCAATGATTCCACTTCCTGCACATGCTTACAGAAAGTTGTACACAATACTTAAAACAGCTTTCTTGGCAATAACCAAATTGGAAATAATCTGAATGTCCATAAATAACAAAATACACACATTTTGGATAGCAAAAATGGGATGCAATAAAAGGAACAAATTAGTGTCAAAGAAAAAGTATAAAAAAACTCAAGATGAGCACAACAACTGATACCATATGCTTTAAATCACTTAAACTTTATCTGTAGCCAAGAAGACAACAAAGCAGATTAGCAGATTCATCACAAGGAGCAGAAGGGTACTTGAAAAATGGTGGAAGCATGCTACTACACACGTCACAACTCAGAGAACTGTACATTGCTATAAATTATTACAATCAATGAATCTTTCCTCAGTAAAGCTCTAAAACACAAGTTCCCAGGTTTCCAAAACTATATTCATTTAAATAACCAATTATGCCATGTGAAAAGCATACAGTATCTAGTTTCAAAAAAAGCATGACAAACATCTCATTAATCAAAGGTAAAACATCTTACCCACTCACTGAACTGGGTAAGGGAGAAATAAGCAAAATGAGGAAGAATAGAAAAAAGGATTCACTCTTTTTTTCCCCTCTCCTATCCTGCCCTCAAACATGTTTCAAAATATTACTTGCGATTCCCTCTTGACCAGGCATTCCAAAGTCACTCAAGCAGTAAGAGCTGATACAAGCGAACATCATCACACCCCAGCACATTTGTCTCACAGGCTGAGATTTATAGAGATCAGGCTGGACCGGGTAACCTACAGTTGGAACTCTGTAAACCTTACACTGGGGGAGCCAGTGGCACAGCAGTAAAGGCACCTCTGGGAACATCCACACTCCATTAGGACAGCCTGGGGCCAACTCTGCACACTGCTCTCTGTCTCTTGGTCATGCACACATGTGACAACCCCAGGACCACCCTCGTGGAGACAGACTCAGTGCTGGCTTCCACCTACTCAGACCAAGCTGGAAGGGGGCTCTGTCACCCTTCCTCCTGTCTCAACCTTTCCCATATATGGAAAATAAACATTATAGTAATTATTCTGTATTACTATATGTCACTCTATATTCTAATATTTTCTCATCTAATGTTCTCTTGAACTAATAAACATGCAAAACCCCCTAAATGAGAAAACAAAGGACATGACAGTCATTTGCCCTAAGTCAATTAACTATAATTAACAGAATTAGTTTAAGACAATTGGTAAGATTTAATCTTTACATTCTAAAACTCCTACAGCTATTATATATGATTTTTAAAACACAAAAGGATGGTCTTAGCGGGGAATCTAAGCTAGGTTAAGAAAAAAATGAAAACCTAATGAGGGTGATGGAAAAAACAGAGGTTTAACAGAAAAGAGGAACATAGGTCCTGACAGCTGCTCCAGAACGATTGGAACGGCCTGAAGGTCAGGAGCCTGGCACACTGCTTAAGCTGAAGCATCCCATGAGCGCTGGCCAGGCCATAGGCAGGGAGCAGGATGGAAAGTGGAGCAAGTGGGACACAAACTGGCACCCATATGCGGTGCTGGGGCTGAAGGTGGAGGAGTAGCCTACTAAGCCACAAGACTGGTCCCAAAATAAATCATCTGAAAAGAAAAGGAAGAAAAATGGGCTTGGAAGACAGCATTAGTTGGGGATTGGGGATGTCAGAGAATGTGAGTTTTGATACAGAAATCTAAGGTGATACGTGAATAAAATAATGGCTGCAACGAGAACTCACAGAACCATGTGCACTATCCATGTAGAAACTAAGATTTCACATGTTATTAACATTAGTGCAAATGGCATTAAATAGTGTGCTAAAACCCAAAATGAAAAAGGGACTGACTGGTATGACTCCAACCAGAAAACACATCAAGTAATAAAATGTATTCACAGGACAAGGGGGAAGGACAGAGTAGGAGACTAGAAAGAGTGCGAAGCAATCAAGTATTAGAGGCCAAGGGCTGAACCAATGGATACAGGCTAGCTTGATGGTGTCATTGGAGGAAGTAATCAGCAGTTCTAAGTACAGACTAACGTGGTGGCTACAGCGGTTACAAGTCTGGGCTAGAAAATCAGACTGCCTAAGTCTGAATTCCAACTGTAATCCACCTGACACAGGTAAGCTACTTCGTTTTTCTTCATCTGTAAAAGGCAAATAATGTGTTTGGTATTGAGAATAGGAATATACAGTAACCTTCAAATAGTTCTAACATTAGGTATGGTCTTGTAAGTGATTTGCAGTGGTAGATTATGGAGTAATGAAATTAAGTAAAAACTGCAGAGATCTGCCTTCAAAACAAAGGTGATCCTAGGCCCAGTGCAGTGGCATGGCACATGACATCCTCCGCCTGCTAGCCAGCATCTCATGAGCTCCAGTTTGTGACCTGGCTGCTCTAGTTCTAATCCAGCTAACTGCTTACAGCCTGAGAGACAGCAGGTGATGGTCCAGTCCTTAGGACCCTGTACCCATTTTGAATATCCAGAAGCTCCTGGCTTTGGATCAACTCAGGTTTGGTTGTTGCAGCCATTTAGGGGAGTAAATCAGCAGATGAAAGATCTTTCCTTCTCTTTATAACTCTGACTTAAAGATAAAAACAAATATACCTGAAATGAGAAAAAGGAAAGGAAAGGAAAAGAAAAAGGAAAAAGAACAGAAAAAGAAAATGAAAAAGAAAAAGTGATCATGACAGAGTAAGCTCCCACTCCTGACACCCTGTGGTACATTTACAGGACAGCCGTTTATACTGGAATCATTGAGCATGTTTCATTTAGGACTTTCTCATACTTTCAACACCTTTTCCTAAAGTTTTTCAATTTTATGATACAATTCCATAGGATTTTCCTTGCCCTCTCCCAAAATTGCTCCCCCCACACTGATTTCCCCTATATTATTACAACAGTATAGACCTTCATAAACAGTCCTAAGTCCTTCATTCTGCTATTTAAGTGTATCCTCACATCAAGGGTATAAACAACGGCAGAGTTGAGCATCCTACTGTCAAGACATATTGAACAGTTTCATCAGGAGTCCATCCTAGATATGGAAGTATAGATGTACACTGTACCACATCCTTACATCTGAGTATGATAGTCTGCTACAGTTACTACACATTCCCTTAAATGAAAAGCCATAAAACAAAATCAGCAATACGTGAACAAAATAATGGCTGCAATGAGAACTCACAGAACCATGTGCACTATCCATGTAGAAACTAAGATTTCACATGTTATTAACATTAGTGCAAGTGGCATTAAATAGTGTGCTAAAATCCAAAATGAAAAAGGGACTGACTGCTTGGAGTCATACACATCAACAACCTTCTCGGAGAAAATGACCTATGAGCCAATTAAGAATTAAGTTAGCAACAGAAACTGTTCTGAAAAAGTGAAAATAAAAACATCAAAACCCACGAGTTGCAGGAAAAATTGTATTGAAAGTGCTATTGATCTTATATTTTGCATGGAGAGAGAATATATAATATCTGTCCTTCTGGGATTGACATATCACTGAGTAAAATGATCTCTAGTTAGGACCATTTGGTTGCAAATGGTAGAATTTCATTATTTTGAATGGCTGAGTATTATTCAATGGAGATGTACCATAGTTTCTTTATCCACTCCTTTTTTTTTTTTTAAA